CCATGGGGAGGGTGTCCATGGGGAGGATGCCCATGGGGAGGGTGCCCATGGGGAGGGGGTCCATGGGGAGGGTGCCCATGGGGAGGGTGCTCATGGGGAGGGTGCTCATGGGGAGGGGGTTCATGGGGAGGGGGTCCATGGGGAGGGTGTCCATGGGGAGGGGGTCCATGGGGAGGGGGTCCATGGGGAGGGGGTCCATGGGGAGGGGGTCCATGGGGAGGAGGTCCATGGGGAGGGTGCCCATGGGGAGGGGGTCCATGGGGAGGGGGTCCATGGGGAGGGGGTCCATGGGGTTGGCACTCACTGGAATTATGATTATGAGAGGGTCTGTGGGTCTCACTGTGGCGGAAAAAGGTGTAATTACTTTGATGAAATCTTGACCCTAAAGGAGGCAATAGTGGAGGACCTCCACTAGCTGGATGATTTTTGTCTTCTAGGGGAGATGGATGTTCAGATTCATGTGACTTATGGGGGTGATGGTGATCTCCGGATCCATGAGGCTTAAATGGAGGTCTGCCTGCAAGAGGATGCCAATGCCCACCAGAGTGGAACGGATGGTCCAAATGGTGCTGCCCACCACTGAAGCATCTATGTTCCTGGTAAAGGACACGGAAAAGTGAATATCATCATGTAACACAAAAGGTGAAGTTAGATGTTTAGACTAATAGTCTCCAAACTTTCGGTTTCCAATCAATTTAAAAAGAAGGATACCAACTAAGGGCTGTCAAATTTTTATCTAACCAAGTTGGCATTTAAAATGCAAACCGAAACTATCATCTACCACCATCATTACTTCACAAAAGGAAAGACATTTTGACAACAAACGGGCTTGAAAGACGATCTCAGAGTAAAGAATGTTCCTTTAGATGGAATACACGTTGTATTATGAAAAACTTTCTTTGTCATCCTTACTTTTCTCATTTCAATGTAAAGTGGTGAAACTATATTATGGAATGACACCCATCTGCTGACCAACATCTGGAAACCAATACTTTCTAATTTGTATTCTCAACAGAGCTCTGAGACTTTATAATATAAGCATCCCTTTCATCTCTTCCTCCCGAAGGACAAGTATGTCCCTTCTTCACTCCCCTCCTTATTCGAATTTCAATTTTTAAAAAATATATTGAGCCATGTTCATGGTAACAAATCTGCCCTTTTGGGGGGAGGAGGGATTGGCACATGGATGTTTGGATTATTTTTAATTTTTTTGCTAATATAAAAAAAACTGTGAAGAACATTTTTCTGCTCACCGATCAAACAGGACAAAGCTTTCTGGGACAAATGTAAAATATTGTTTTGCATCTTATTTTATATACCTTTATATAATGCATTTGAAGCTAATTCCTCCTATGTTATTTTCCATGCCTAATAATAAAAACTAACAATTATTAAGTCTTAGCGATGGAGACCTGACTACAAGGACCATTTTCAAATTCATTCAAAGTTGATTGAATTGGTCATGGTTTTATTTTTCAGTCAAAGTATCAGCCCTTCTCAATTCTTGTAAAATATTTTTATAGTTTTTGTGCTTTACTAGCAATTGCATTCCTTTCCCCAGGGACCTGTTCTCCTTTATCTCTTTTCCCTCCTCCCCCTCTCTCTCTTCAGCCCCACATTTTCTAGCTGACCTCCACGTGAAGTGGCATTAGGCAAAACTCCTTCTCTGCAGGAGAGAATAGAGCCACACACACATTCTTTCTCTCTCTCTCCTTCTTTCCTTCTCTCTCTTACACACACACAGACACACACCCCCACACACACAGACACACACACACAGAAATCTATAAGAATCAACTAAGCAATGGGTGAAAAACCCCACTTAGTCTGCTTGTGACAAAGGCTAGCTTGCAGTAGCCCACCTCAGGATAGAAGATGTCACAGTGTACAACAAGATCTTCTGGGCTTTCCAAGTCAGAGGCTTCTGCTTCATATGAAAAAACTGCTCTGCAGAATCCAAAAACCTATAAGGAAGAGAGAAGCCTGTTAGTGAATTTGTGAGTGTGAGTGTGTGTGAGAGAGAGAGAGGAAGAGAGAGAGAGCGTGGGTGTTGTGGAGGTGTCAGTTACAGTCATGAACCTCCAGACATTTGGGAAAGGAAGAAGAGCTTTAGAAAAACCAGAGTAATATTATCAAACATTAAAAGAGTCAGCAGTCTTTCCCAGTCAGCACTTTGAGAAAAGTGCAGGTCCCAAAGTGTTTTGTTACACATTGCTGTGTTCTCTTCCACTAGCAGTCGCCAGCACTAGGCTTCCGCATGGGTGGTGATGGGGAGCAGCACTTCATTGTTGCCTTGCTTTTGGCCCAACTCAACTCAGCTCTGCCGGTGCCTAGAGAGAATGAGGAATGGTGTAGAAGAGGGAGTTGTACAACTTTAACTGGTCCCTTGGAGAAAAGTGTTGGAAAGGAGAGAGCCAGTGTAAAGATGGGTCTGCCTCGATCCTGTCAAGGTGTGTGTCTGGTGTCCCACCTTAAACACATGGAGTTAGAACTGGATGTCACTCCTATGCCCCAAAACCCAAAAATCAAACCCATTGTCATCAAGTTGGTCCCAACTCACAGCAAACCTATAGGACAGAGTAGAACTGCCCTATAGGGTTTCCAGGGAGCACCTGGTGGATTAGAACCACTGACCTTTTGTTTAGCAGCCAAGCTCTTAACCATTGTGCCACCAGGGCTCCTCCTATGCCCCAGAGGCCCCTAAATTCAGCTGCCAAGGTTAGATTACGACAAGAAGAAGACCCTTTTCTAGAGTAGACTGATAAGCATTGTGGTTCTAAACACAATTTTAGAGTCAGACAGGCCTATGTTTAATCCTGACTTCACAATTTACTAGTTATGTGGGCTTAGGCAAGTTATGTAGAGTTTCAGAAACTCAGTTTCTTTGTCTATAAAATGGGGATAATACTATCTACCCACCCAGTTGTAGGAGGGCTTAATTTAATGAGTTCACGCTGTAAAATACTTAGCATGGAGCTTCCTCTTCTCCGGCCTCCGTGTTTCTGCATTGGGTTTGCATTACTCACACTGGCCACTAAGCAGGACTCTAGAAGTTCTTCAGGTTGAAAATTTGAACAGCCATCAAAGGAACTAGTGAATGCTTCCTCCCTTCTTGCCTGGGAGAATGTGTTAAACCTCCGAAAAAACCCTGGACTTGAAAGCAGAAGGCTGCCATTAAAATCCTGTGTCCTAACACTTTCTAGCCAAATGTCCATGGTTAAGTCTATTAAACCTCTAGGCCCTCAGGTCCTGGGGAAATGGAGGCAGATACTTGTTCTTCCTTCCCAGCCAGGTTGTCATGGAGCTCCAATAAGGCAATAATATACGTGGAGGTGCTTTATAAACTGTAAGTCACCCTGCTAATGCCAGGTATTATCAACAAGGGCTTCCTGCAGGTACATGGGTATCAATTTACAAATGATTCCACTGGCTTGGGCTTTAGAATTGGGCTGTAATCTCAGCTTTGTTGTGAACATTGGGCAAGACCCTTATTTTGCTGAAGCTCAGTTACCTCCTCATTTGTCAGACAGGATTACTGTGACACGAAGTGAATGAAAGCACCGGCGCGTGTAGGTTCTTAAAACAAGCCAGTTATTAGTTTTAGCTCAGCTTTTAATCCTCATGGAGTCCTGGTGGCATAGTGGTTAACAGCTCAGCTGCTAACCAAAAGGTCAGCAGTTCAAATCCACCAGCCACTCCTTGGAAACTCTGTTTGGGCAGTTCTACCCTGTCCTGTAGAGTCGCTATTGACAGGACGGCAACGGGTTTGTTTGGCTTTTTTTGTTGTTGTTGTTTAATCCTAATGGGCTGAACAACTAGGTTTTAAGTTTAGGAATATGTGAACCCTAAGTGGGTTCATATCACATATATATATACCTAAAGAAATCTGCCTTGGAAGAATTACAACCAGAATGCTCCTTAAAAGCAAGCACGGCAAGACTAAGTCTCACACACTTCGGACATGTCACCAGGAGGGATCAGTCCCTGGAGAAGGACATCATGCTTGATAAAGTAGAGGGTCAGTGAAAAAGAGGAAGACCCTCAATGAGATGGACTGACACAGTGGTTGCAACAATGGGCTCAAATACAGCAACGATTGTGAGGATGGCGCGGGACCAGGCGGGGTTCCCTTCTGTGGTGCACAGGGTCACTATGAGTTGGAACCAACTCAACAGCACCAAACAACAACAACATATGATATAGACAAAGTCTTATTCTCATGCATCTTAATGTTTCTGCCTTAGTTTCCCCACCTGTGAATTGGGGATAAAAATAGTATCTACTTCACAGGGTCGTGTGAAGGTTAAGTAAGTTAACATATGTGTAAATCACAGAGAAGAGTGCCTGGCACATAGGAAGTGCTCTCTGAATATTCCTTATTATTTCCCAGACATCCATTATACTCACATTAGAGGGTCTGTAAAAATCGTGCCTGGAGCAGTTCCTTGCGGAGAAGTCCACATAGTAATTGGTTCTTTCCCCTCCTCTCTAGAAGAGAGTGGATCAAAAACACTTTCAGAAAAATATACAGTCAAAAAAAAAGAAAGTAGATACCTCTAGTCAATACACTATAAAGCACTATGAGGATTTAAAATCACCAACACACGGCAGTTTTCTATCTTGTTTTTTTTTTTTTTTTTAAATCGCGTAAGTGATAAAATGAATACCATTTTATTGCAAAGATCCAAGTTATGCAGAGATCAACAAGCAAAATGTGACTCCTCCCTGTACCCAACTTCCCCTTCATGGCGGTATCACTATCATTCACTAAATATGTTTCCCTTTCTAGCCTTTTCCTAGACGTGTGGCACATATACACACTTATCTATTTAACATAAATGGGTTCATATCCCAAGTATTGTTTTATAACCTGCTTTTCCCTTAGTGATATGTCTTAAAACTATTTCCAGCGTATGTAAGTCCAAAGCATTCCTTTTAATGCATTGTGTTCATTCCATTGTTTATATGCATCACGATCTGTTTAACTGTGCATTTTCAAAAGGCACATGAACATCAACCAGCTGCTCTACAAGACAACTCCAGGCAGGAGGCAGGAGGGCCCCCAGACTGGGAAGTGGGAGAAGTGTCTAGCTCCAACCACACCACTGGGTGTGGTGATGTAGTCTCTCTGAGCCTCAGTTTTCCATCATAATACAAGGTGGTTAGGACCAGATGAGTTTTAATAACTCATGTAACTCCAATATTACTCTTCTGTCTTTTCCTCTTTCCTTTTTTGGGTTTTTCCTCCCCTCCCTGAGCTCATCACTGCCCCCCCCCCCCCCCAGAAAAAATTCCAGTTGTTTGGTGTCTGCTGCCTGCCTATCGTAGCCCCAAAGGCACAACAGGGACCTTGACTTAGAAGGCAACTGGCTGAGTGAGGCAGGCAGAGAGGGTCAGTGCCTCTGAGTTCACACCTGCCAGGTTGGAGCCCAGGCCTTCAGGGTCTAGTTGGACGTTAGTAGAAACTTACCACTCTTGCAACTCTTTCTACCTGGTCCACCCTGAAAGAGGTGAAATCATCACCATTCTCTGTTTTATATTTCTCAAGGGCTTCATTGGCTTGTTTTCTGTAGGGCTCAGTATCCTCAAAGAAATCCACGAGCACAGGACTGTCTTTGGTATCGGCCAGTGCCGAAGAGACTGGACAAAAAAGATGGCATCGTCACCATTACTAGGTTGGAAATGGTAGCGTCAATGCTGGGACTTACTACATGTAAGCATGGTGGCAAGAATAATAATTGCAATAGCTTCCAATTTATAGATGGGGAAATTGAGGGTTGGAGAGGTTAAGTAATTTGTTCTAGGTTAATCAGCTAATCAACAGCAAAGCTAAACTCAAACCCAGATCCTTAATGGCCAAGTCCCTCTTGTGAACTCTATTCATGATGCTGTGAGTCACAATGAACACTTCCTGCCTCTGCCAAGGAAAGCAAAGCGTCATACACATAATATTTTGTTCATAGAGAGGAGAGGACACAGCTCACCCTTTCTTTAAGCCAATCTCCTAAGAGATTGCTTGACTGTTGAATTTTGGTATATTAAATCTTGGTGAGGTTTACTATTTTTAAAGGAATTCTTATTTATTTTTGAAAAATAATTTTTGAAAAAATATTAATTCTTAAAACAATAAATAAGGAGAGCAGAGAATTTAGAGTCAAAATTGCTAGGTTAGATTTAGTGTTCACCACATCTTGGGTTTGTTCCCCAGGCCAAGTCATTGAACTTCTTTGAGCTTCAGTTATTGTATCTCTAAAATAGGAAGTATCTTTACTTCATAGTCTTGTTGTAAGATTAAATGAAATAACATATGTATAAGTGCTTTGTAAACTGTAGAATCCTACACAACTATTAGATGTTGAACTCAATACTTATTAAGTGCTAGCTACATACACCATCTTATTTAATCCTCAGAAGGGCCTTAAGGGATAAAACTGTTATTGCCCCCATTTTACGAATGAGGAAACCAAAGCTTAGAAAGGTTAATTAACTTACCCAAGACCACACAACTAGTAAATGGTTGAGTTTGGCATGTAAACTCAAGCAAAGCAAACCCCAGAGCCTATGCTTCTGCAATGATCTATCCTGCCTCTTGTAAATTTCTATTTATACATGTTGAATTCTTGAAAGGAAGGTACACCAGTAACAGGGATAAAGCCTTCTCCCCTTTACTCTCAAGAGAATGAGCCATTATCAAGTCCATGAGGGCAGGGACCATTTCTGACATGTACAATATATGATGAGTGCTACTGTATGACTGAATTATATATTAATTTAGAATTAATTGGTAATTTAACAGATTACCATACCAGAACTTGTGGTGCAATTAAAGTCATTCACTCGAAGATCCTGAGATTTCTTTGAACGCATTGTAGCTATCACCTTACATTGCCCGATCACCTGTAAGAAAGAGGGGTTTTGTGTCATTGCATAATGGTCTCCTTGGGTTAGATATGAGGGCATGAAAAGATGATGCAACATATTCCGACTATCCAATTAAAAGTTATTTAAGTTTATGCTACTCAAATCCACTGTCAAAACATGCATCTTCTAAGTGCATTTCTGTGTGCTGGTTGCTATAGACACCCAAAATACCCTCATGAGAACCCGGCAAAAACTGTTGAAACAGATCATGACCATATCAAAAACATTTTACAGGGAAAAAATTGATAGAACTTCTAGGTGTGTGTTGTGGATTGAATTGGGTCCCCACAAAATATGTGTCGACTTGGCGAGGCCATGATTCCCAGTACTGTGTGGTCGTCCTCCATTTTGTGATCTGACATAATTATCCTATGCACTGTAACTCCCAACCTCTATGATGTTAAATGCAGGATTAGAGACAGTTATGTTAATGAGGCAGGACACAATCTACATGATTGGGTTGTATGTTGAGTCAATCTCTTTTGAGATATAAAAGAGAGAAGTGAGCAGAGAGGAGAGGGACCTCCTACCACCAAGAAAGAAAAACCAGGAGTGGAATGCATCCTTTGGACCTGGTGGATTTGAACTGCTGACATTTTGGTTAGCAGCCTGAGCTCTTAACCATCGAGCCACCAGGGCTCCAAGGTCAACATAGTCTTCATGAATCCTGAGGCAGAAGCTACCTGTAGTGTTTTACTGTGTTAGCCTGAGCATCTGGCTTCCCTGAGCAAGCAGAGAGACAGAATGACAAAGGAGGGGAATGGTGTCCTGTGTACTTACCGTGTGTGATGGACTCTTAGAAGCAGCTGGCTCACAGTCATTCCAGTGTTTCCTGGACAGGACTGAACAGTCAGATTCTTTCACATCTAGGACTAAATAGTAGACATCTGCAGATTCCTGAGGAATGACAAGAAAGCAACAGGTGAGTAGCATGTGGGAGCCCAGAGGTTTCCTTCAATAAAAGCAATATCTTAAACAGAATTCCTGCTCCTCTCCAAATCTTTGCAAATGTCCCACCTTTGTGCCATTTGATCTATTTAATTGGATAAACAGCTTCAAAGAGCCACTTCCAAATGTGCTTTTTAGCTGGTCACGATGCTTTAAAAATCTATCACTAATCAAAAAAACAAAACAACAACAACAGCCAAAAAAACTCATTAAATGGCAGTGTTGGTTTAGGACTCGCTGCAGGAAGGCCAAGCCTAGAATTCTTAGTGACATACGGCCACCCCAAGGCCTCTGTGCTGGTGGCCGCCATATCTCTATTTGCAATTGTGCCCCCTCACCCAGCTCTATTCTTGAACTTGGATTTTATTGATTTCAACTTGTTTTCAAACTTGATTTCAAGGCTAAATCCACTATTCGGTATTTTCTTACAAACCAGCTCCTTCTCTCAACTTTCTTTGTCAGTGGAGCTATTAATTATTGCCGTGCTCTCTGGCTTAAAAATGTGAAATCAACTTTGATTTCCTACATTTCTGTGTTGTCACTATCCAGTCAGTCACCAAGTCTTGAACGGTCTTTCTTCAAAATGTTTCTACATCTGTTGCACATTCTTAGGGCCCCAGTTCCCATTGCTTTGATCTGGTTCTCATTTCCTCTCCCCCGAATGCATGAAATAACTTCCTAGTTCATCTCCCCATTACTTGTCTCTATGTCCCCAGGTACACTGTGGCCCCTCCCTATCTACTCTCCCTCCATGCCACCACTCTGGGATAGCACAGTGCCTATTCATCCTTGTGTCCTACACATGTGGCAGAGAGCTGGGAAATGGCAGTAACGGTCACTAAACTGCTGGCTGAATATTAAATTCTTACACTGTTCTCTGCAACCTGCAGTACCTTCCTTTCTAATACTTCGTTGTTAGCTACTGTCGAGTTAGCTACTGACTCATGGTGACTCCATGCCCAAGGATCCCATTGTGATCCACAGAGTTTTCACTGGCTAAGTTTTCAAAAGTATTTTCTTCCTAGTCTGTCTTCGTCTGGAAGATCCATTGAAACCTGTTCAACATCATAGCAAAATCCAAGCTTCCACTGACGGATGAGTAATGGCTGTGCTTGTGGTGCATTGGCCAGGAATCAAACCTGGGTCTTCTGCATGGAAGACGAGAATTCCACCACTTAATCACCAACGCCCTCTTTAATGAGTGTAAATTCCTCTGCTTGTCCTGTGTGGTGTTCCATGGTCTGGCTTCCTAAGCTCAATCCTCATAGAACTTTTGGAGTCCCACTGCATGTTTTCAATTATTCCCTAACACTCTTCTTCCAGATTCCATACCCACATAGAAGTGGCATGCCTGGAATTCACCTGGAATGCCTTTTCCCAGTTCCTCTTCCTATTCAAATTCCACCCATTCTTCAAGAACCAACTGAAGCCTTCTTCCATCTAATCTTAATGGATCTTTCATTAAGTTTCCCCAGCATTTCTATGACACACTTGAGCACTTTAATAGAGCCTATCTTACACAGTTTGCCAGTGTTGGGGGGGGGCAGATTATTAATTCCTTGAAGGCAATGCCCACAATTTATTCGAAATTTTCTCTCACAGTACTTAATATTAGGTTGAACTCAGCATAAGTACTTCTAAGCACTTGTAGATTGATTCACCGTTAAGGACATAGATATCACAAACATTAGTTTGAAGGAAGAAAGATCAGTCTATCGCAGCAGCAGAAGCTAAACATAAAGCCTTGACCAGAGCCTTTGCATTATGCAAAGCAGTAGGCTCAGGGGCTGCAATCATATTGGCCCCTGGTGTGTGGACTCCCCACGCAGCTCTGCCATTGGCAATTCCTCACCACTTTGTCCAAGTGAGCATCAGTGACCCGCAGCAACTGGAAAAGGTAGCCATCCCGTCGCCCTTTATTGACCAGGTCTAGAACTTTCTCAGCTACTGGCTTAGTCTCTTCACAATCAGCAGGACTCAGAGCACAAGAATGCCGCAGCGTGATCAAAAGCAGAGCTGCAAGGAACACCTTCATTTTCTTAAAACGGGAAAACCATCCCTTGTTATGGTCTACCACAGCAGGAAATTTTATAAAGACTTTCTAAAGTACACACATACAATGCTTAAAACAATGTTTTTATACATTTTGTTGTATAACTGGGGATGCTCACCTTGACCCCTGGTTGAAAATATCAGTCAACAGGCTGTAAATGATTAGTGGGTCCAGAGGACAGAGAGTTGAGACATGCTGTTGGTGAGGGGGCGGAAGTTTGATCTGCTCGAATCTGGATTTTTCTAGTAGGTAGCAGATCCAAAGTGTGTTATTGACAACAAGCATTGCCTACGTTGCTGTGAGGCACTGGGGTGGGCTAGAATTTTCCTCCATGTGCCTGCCTGGCTCAACCTGACAACACTGAAGGTCCTTGGTAGAACGCAGCTGCTTTATCTGTGGGAGATAACAAGTTAAACCATTCACACCCTAAAAGGAACTGGCTTCAGGTAGAACAGAATGATGAGGAGGCTGTCTGCTTTGGAGTTAGATCTGAATTTCAACCATGGCTCAGTTACTGTGTTACTGTACAGTGCTCTGCGACGCAGGGCAAGATAGAAAATCTCTCTGATTCTCAGTTTCCTCGTTTGTAAAATAAGGATTGATAGCTCTTGACAGGATTGTGTGAATGTAAATAAGGAAGCGTATGTAAAGCTATCAGTGCAAGTCTTGACACAGAGTAGATGCTGAACAATGGTACTAGGAGTTGCTATTAGTGGGCCTAGGAAGAAGTTTGGGGCACTACCATGTCATCCCAGTTCCCTGTGGCCATTGAAGCATACCTACGGGAATCTCCATGTAGAAGAGGACAGTGGTGGGAGCAGAAGTCAAGCAACTGAGTGCCCAACCCAGGAGAGGGGTTAGGGGAAATACGGCACTGAGGGAGAGGTTCAGCAGGGATGGGGCTGGGCAAAGCTGATTCTCACCCCCAAGGAACTAATATACCCTTATGGAACCAACCTCCATAGCAACAGAGGCCAGCAGCATCAGACAGGACCAGAGGGAAGCAGCCCAGTTTCCCTCCCCACTGCCAATAAGTAGCCAGTCACTTAAGCAGAATCTTCCTCCTTGCTCTCTTCTCTACAGTAAGAGACAGGAAGGACCTGTGAGGTTTACAGCAGCGGTTCTCAGCCTTGCCTTTATATTTAGAGTCACCTAAAACCAAAGCCAAAAACCAAACCAGTTTCTGTGGTGTCGATTCTGACTTGTGGAGACCTCATGTGTGTCAGAGTAGAACTGTGTTCCATCGGGTTTTCAATAGCTGTGATCTTACGGAAATAGATTGCCAGAACTTTCTTCCAAGGTGCCTCTGGGTAGACTCAAACCACCGATCTTTTTGTTAGCAGCTTAGTGAGCTGTTTGCACCATCCTGAGACTCCAGAATTACCTAGGAGCTTTAAAAAAATTCTAACATCTAGGCTTCCCCCGGAGCAATTAAATCAGAATCTCAGGCACTGGTATGTTTAAAAGCTCTCCACAGATGATTCCAATGTGCAGTCAGGATTGAGAGCTACTGGAACTCTAGACAGAATCTGAAGGGAGGGAAGGAGCTTGAAGAAAGAACGGCAGGGAGGGGGATGTGTATGAAGAGTAGACCTCCCCTCTCAGCATCACGAATTGATTTAACGAATGCTAGAAGTGGAACCCTGGTGGTGCAGTGGTTAAGAGCTCGGCTACTAACCAAACGATTGGCAGTTCCAATCCACTAGCTGCTCCTTGGAAACACTATGGAGCAGTTCTACTCTGTCCTATAGGTTGCTATGAGTCGGAACAGACCCAACGGTGTTACTGAGTGGAAACCCCAGGTTCTGCTCAGCATGACTCAAACTGACCAGTAAACAAGAGATTGAGGTGGGAGAGCAGAAAAAACACCTTTATTTCATTGCGCAAGGAAGGGTGTCAGAGCTACTGCTGCCAAGACTGCTCCCCAAGGGCAAGGGGAAAGGTTACTTTTAAGCAGTTTACAAGTAGAAAGTTCGTACAAGTTACATCAGCAACATTCTTAATCATACTACACAGGTGCAATGAAGTTTACATATAACTTCATGCATCACCAGGAAGCAAAGAACACAGGATTCTAATGCAAAGCTTCGGGGCAAGCCAAGCAAAGGAAACAGGATTTTAATGCAAAGCTGCAGGACAAGCAAAGAAAACAGGATTCTGATGCAAAGCTGCTTGAGGCAGTGGCCTGGGGATCTCTGCCTTAACGGCAATGGGTTACAAGTGGAAGAGACAAGTTTGAATTATGTTTGAGATTAAATTTTTAATAATAGCAACACTAGCTTTTACACACCAAAATGGGACTGTTTCAATATGACTCAGAATGGCACAATAGTATGGAATCTGGCCAAAGCGTTGTTAGAGACTCCAACCCAGTGGGGCAGGAGGAAAGCAATTGGATTTAAACGATAATTTAAGGAGCTCCACTCATTGAAACATAAAACAGCTTTTCGTTTAATGAATAGCTTTTCCCTGCCCCACTGGGTTGGAGTCTCTTTAAAACACACCTAACTTGTTTCCCATGGCAAAGACTTTTTTTCAGTTTCTTGTTATACACAGGAACACTGTTGGTACCCTGATTAAAGCACTTGGCTGCTAACCAAAAGCTTGGCGGTTTAAACCAGGGCTTTGAAAGTTCAGAATGGTTTAGTAATTACCGATGTAAACGAGGGCAGTGTACACACTGCATAACACCCAGATCTGTTTTCCGTGGGATTTTGACCCAAGTAGGAAACAAACAGCAGTGCCCAGCTCAAAGATGGCGGCCGACTGCACAGCCTTGAATGTGTGTCGCTCTCCGCAGTCCTGCCAATAATCCAATCTCCCACATGGATCCCAGAAGTTTCAAGAGCCTGATGCAAGAGATTGGATTATTGGCAGGAAGTGGCCAGCGACACACATTCAAAGCCGTCTGGTCAGCCGCCATCTTTGAGGGGCACTCTGCTGTTTGTTTCCTAACCAAAAAAAAAAAGCTGTTGCTGTGGAGTCGATTCCAACCCACAGTCACCCTATAGGACAGAGTAGAACTGCCCCATTGGGTTTCCAAGGAGTGGCTGGTGGATTCAAACTGCCCACTTTTTGGTGAGAAGCCGAGCTCTTAACCATGGTGCCACCACAGCTCCATTTCGGGTCAAAATCCCACGGGCAACAGATTTGGTTGCTATGCAACGCTTACGCTATCCTCATTTATGTGGGCAATTACTGAACATTTCCGAACCTGTTCTAAGCCTTAGTTTGAACCCACCAGCCTCTCTGTGGGAGGAAGATGTGGCAGTCTGCTTCCATAAAGATTACAGCCTTGAAAACCCTATGGGGCAGTTCTACTCTGTGCTATAGGGTCTGTATGAGTTGAAATTGACTTGAGGGCAATGGGTTGTTATATATAGTTTAAATCCTGCATTTTCCCTTAGTGTTATACCTTAAGGACTTTCCCTTCAGAATGATTATTTTAAAAGATCACATGACATTGCATGTTATATATGTACGTAATTAACATTACCTTATATTTGGCCATGTGTATTGTTGCCAGGAGCCCTGTGGTACAGTGGTTAAGAGTTTGCCTGCTCACCAAAAGGTCGGCAGTTCAAATCCACCAGCCACTCCTTGGAAACCCTATGAGGCAGTTGTACTCTGTCTTATAGGGTTGCTATGAGTTGGAATTGACTCGTTGGCAACAGGTTTGGTTACAGGTTTAGTATTGTTTCCAATTATTTGTTCCTATATTAAATGGTACAATGAGTAGCCATGTGAATCTCTGATTATTTCTTTGGGAACCACTGAATCAGTTGACAGAATTTTATAACGTTCGTTTTTGTTTTTTTTTTTTAATAGAAGTCGTTTTTAAAGCTTTGTCAGAGATAACTCTTAATACTACATAACTAGAAATGCCCAAATCCTGAAGTTTCAGGAGAGAAGATTAATGTTAAAGCAGTTTTTCAGCCACAGATTATTTAGACAGAAGGGCCTCAGATGATTAATGATTGCAGCCTTTTGAGACTATTCGATTAGCTTGTTCCCATGGAGTTTGCAGAGTAGGAACCAAAGGTCAAGGACTGAGAGCTAGGTAAGCCATACATAAGAGGTGAGTGGAAGAAAGGATCCCCAGGAGGGAGGGGCCTGAGGAGAAGGACTAGGAATGTCGGAGGAAAACCTGGAAGATGTGGAACAAAGTCTACCTGAGAAAGCTTCAAGAATGAGGGAGGGTCAGCATTGCCAGATGTTTCAAAGACAGTAAGCAAATTCGAATGGAAATGCTTCCTTTGAATTTAGTAATAAGGAGCCCTGGTGATGCAACTGTTAAGCACTCAGCTGCTAATAAAAAGTTCAGTGGTTCGAACCTACCAGCCGCTCTGTGGGAGAAGGATGCGGCAGTCTGCTTCTATAAAGATCACAGCCTTGAAAACCCTATGGGCAATGGCGTCACTAGGGTTCATGTCACCCAGTGTGGTAACTCATGGTTTCACACCCACTGTGGCCTCCTCTGGTACCAGATCATACAGAATCCTTAGTAATTTTTTATTTTATTTTATTGTGTTTTAGGTGAAAGTTTACAGCACAAATTAGTTTTTCATTCAAAAATTTTATGCACAAATTGTTTTGTGACATTAGTGGCAATTCCACAATGTGCTTAGTAATGTTCTTTGTACTAATGTTACCCATAAATCATAATTCCCGTATATCACTCCTTCTTTTCCTTTAATTACTACTTCATTCTCAAAAAAGCTATTGATATAGGTTCACAAATACTAATTACCACTATCTTGTAGCTAAAACACCAGAAAATTTGCCTATAAAAACACTGGCAGCAAAGAAAACAACAGTGCACGCTTGTAGTGCGTGCAGATGAAACCATGTGATTCGAAGCATCATTGTAATTGAGTAATAATGACAGCTCTGACCAGAGGGCATTAGAAGGCTCAAAAAGTAAATTAGTATAGAGTTTTAGCCTTGTAGGTATATTGATACATGTGAGCTGGGCTTACGAAAAATGTCTTTGTTGTTATAAGTAACTACAGGGCTATTTTATAAAAACTAATAAATTTCTGCTGAAACTCCACACAAAAATTTTATAGACAGTCATTTGGTGTCACCACCTCTGACAGGGTCACCCGGTGAGGTCCACACCCCCTGTACTCCCTTATTGACGCCACTGCCTATGGGGCAGTTCTACTCTGTCCTGTAGGGTCACTATGAGTCGGAATCCACTCCATGGCAATGGGTTCAGTTTTTTTTTTGGTTTTGTTGTTGTTAGGTGCCATGAGTTGATTCTCTACTCAAAACAACCCCATGTGACAGAGTAGAACTGCCCCGTAGGGTTTTCTAGGTGTAATCTTTATGTAAGCAGATTGCCAGAACCACTGAGTGGATTTGAATTGCCAACCTTTTGGTTAGCAGCTAAGCACTTAACCACTGCCCCACCCAAACCAAACTCAAACTTATTGCCGTCTAGTTGATTCTAACTCATAGCGACCCTACAGGACAGAGTAGGACAGCCCCATAGGGTTTCAAAGGCTGTAATCTTTACAGAAGAAGACTGTCACATCTTTCTTTCGAGGAGCAGCTGGCGGGTTCAAATCACCAACCTTTTGGTTAACAGCTGAGTGCTTAACCACCACACCATCAGGGCTCCTTAAAACCAAAATTAATTGCCATGGAGTTGATTCCGACTCATAGTGACCCTCCAGGACAGAGTAGAACTGCCCATAGGGTTTTCTAAGTGTAATTTTTAAAAAAATAAACTTTTAATTTTATAATTGTTTCGATTTACAGAAAAGTTGTGAAAACAATACAGGGAGTTTCTCTGTACTTATCACCCAGTTTTCCCTAATGTTAATGTCTTTTGTGGGGTGTGTGTGTGCGTGTGTGTGCGCGCGCACGCTTTGGGTGGAAATTTACAAAGCAAATTGTTTTCCCATTTGATAGTTTATACAGAAAGTGTTTCATAACTTTGGTTTCATTCCCCACAATGTGTCAGCACTCTCTGCATTTCTATGCTGTTTTCGCCATTTTCTTTTGTCCTGATTTACTACCCCTCCCTGCCTTCTTATCTTTGCTTTTGGGCAGATAATGCCCTTTTGATCTTTTATAATTGATTGTTCTAAGGAGTACATTCCTCTCGGGTGTTATTGTTTATCTTATGTGCTTATCCACTGTTTGGCTGGGAGGTGGTCTCCCGGGAATGGCTTCCTTTCCAGGTACGAAGGGCATCTTAGGGCCATAGTCTCAGGAGTTCCTCCAGTCTCTTCAGACCAGCAAGCCTGGTCATATTTGTGAATTTGAGTTTTTGTTCTACAATTTTCTCCAGCTCTGTCCAGGACCCTCTGTTGTGATCCCAAGTCAGAGCAGTTGGTAGTGGCAGCTGGGCACCATCTAGTTCTTCTGGTCTTGGGGTCATGTAAGCTGTGGTTCATGTGGTCCATTAGTCTTTTGCTCCCTTGAGTCTTTGGTCTCCTTTTAGGTGTAATCTTAACAGAAGAAGATTGCCAGATCTTTCTCCCAAAGAGCCACCAAGTGGGTTTGACCGGCCAACCTTTTAGTTAGCGGCTGAGCACTTAACCACCACACTACCAGGGCTCCTCAGGCAATCATGAAGGAATACCAATTCAGTTATGAAAAAAGAAAATTTACCAGCTGGAGCTGTTGCCATCAGGGGTCCCCACTGTGCTCAGGGTGGCTCAGGCAAACTTCCCTTCATGTGCCCCCAACTCTAAGTCAGTGCTCCAGTTCTGAGAACCAGAGACTTTGGGGCAGATGAAAAGAGGGAGAGGGCTGGAAATGGCTCAGGCAATGCCCAGATAAGACTTGATGATGTACTTAAAAGGGATGAACACTATAAAGGGTAAACCCTTCAACTCGGTCTCAGTTTCTTGTATATCTTGGCATTAGAGAAAGTATCTTCAGTCATAGCTATAATACAGAGATTTGTGTATATCTGTAAGCTGAAAGGATAAAATCTTTTATAAGCAAGAGGTTGAAGACACAGAGAGGTATTTCTCCATGGCACGAGGCCTTGGGCAGGTGAAGGGGATGCAGCCCAGTGCACATGGGACGGTTAGTCCCATCATCTCTAATCCAAGCAAACATGACTGAGACCAAGACGAGTCAAAAAACAAACTTTGTTAGTCACTGTTAGCATTTGAATTCTTTCTCTGTCCCTTCCCCACAACCTCTTCTCTCACTCAGGGCACCTCAACCCTGGGGAATCCTCTAAGTGGTCCTCATGGCGGGAGAATAAAAGGGTTGTCCACTTGGGCTGGGCCTGGGCACTCAGGAGAGAGGTGCTCTCTTTTGGGGAAAGGCAGGACAAACAGCTTCTCCTTCACGGGCCCCGGGAAGAAGAAGAAGACGTCCAGGTTTTCTCCCAGGGGGTTGGTGGTCAGGTCCAGCTGCACAGGGAAGGCCTCACGAGGGTCCTTTTTCTGGGAACCTTCTGGCTTCTCATCATCCCAGTCGGGGAGGTATTGGACAGACCCTCTTGGCACAGCTTCTGAGGGGGCATTGGTGGGGGCCATGCCTTCATGCTGGGACTCCTCTACCTTGAGGAGGTTCACAGGCCCCTGTGTAGGAGCAGAGTTTTCACCTCCTGGAGCAGGAGCCTGAAATAAGAACATTTTCAAATGTAGAGGGTCACAGGGAAAGCCTTGCCATGCCTGGTATCAATCTAAGCTCTTCTGTGCCTTTCTGATGGAATGGTTCAGAGGGAGACTCTGAAGGGCCAGGTCTCCTGGTTAAAGGCTTAAAAAGCAAAAGAGATAAAGGCCAAAGGTCTTCCAGAGCAGTAAAAACTACTGCAAGTCTCACCCATTGCAGAGATGAGCAAAAGTCCAGAGAGTTAAAGGACTTGCTCAAAGTCCCCAATGATCTCACGTCCCTGCTCCCAGCGCAGTCACAACAGCCATGGTTTATTAGTTGTTTATTCTGTGCCAGGCCTTGTGCAACACCCGTCCTCCAGGTCCTCTCACTGTTTTCTTACAGGGATCTGAAGGCATTAAGCATTTCAATCCCATTGTACAGAGGAGGCAACTGAGACTCAGAGTGATAAGTACTGGACCTGATCACACAGCTTGCAGGTGCAGAGCAGGACTGGAACCCAGCTTGCCTGTCTCAACTGCCCTCTCAACTATTTCAGTCTGCCTCATAATAAGTGTTCAATAAATACTTCTTGAAAGGGATTGAATATTTCTGTGGAAACAAGTTCTTCCTACAGTTCCAAGCAAGGTTTCTTTGGGACACTGAATTTAATGTCCTAGAGGCCTGTTGCAGCAAAGCAAGTAGGCTTTTGTGTTTGTAGGGCTCTTCCTTACTGTGAAGGACCTCACCATGGCTAAAACAAAGTGTGACAAGTCTTTGACCAGCCACCTTGTAGATGTGGTCACAGGGCGGCCCTAGTAAAGTGGAAATCATGGGTCTTAGGAAAACAAAAGGAGGGAGTGGGGTAGGGGCAGCAAAAATACACAACTTTCTTTTTTCTTCACAGAAACACCATAATTAGATTGAAAAATACCTGTGATTCAAAGAATTCACATTTTACTGAGACAAACTTTTTGATGCCTTCTTGACTCAGAGAACCTTTACACAGACCAGCAGGCTATAAGAAAGAGAAAATACAATGTCACATAAGTACTAACATGATTGTTGTTGTTACGTTGTTAGTTGCCATCAAGTTGATTTCAACTCAAGGCAACTCTGCATGAAATGATCATTTAACTAAAAATCAGCTTGCTTTCTTCTTGTGTAGACAAATAGCCAATCAACATTTTTAGGCTCCAACAATGTAATAGGTAGGCCCTGAGCCAATTCTTTCTACATCACCACTACTAAGTAGTGACCCAAACTAGGCTTAATTGCCTCCAACCATAGGAAACTCAGTATTTATTTAGGAACAAAACAATTGTTATTAGAAAATTCTTTGTAAGAGCTGAAAGCTGTGACTATACAACTTGGCTTCAGTGCTACCCTTGTATCAATGAGAAAAAAGGGTTTTTTTTTCACTTTTTATCTAAAAATCCCTTAGGTATGTTCCGTGTGAGTTTTCTCAGTCAAAATCACTCATAGCTCCTTCAACTTACCTCTAATTTAAAACAAAATAACATCTTTATTACAAAATGTAAACAAACAAAAAAAGAAAATAGAAAAGACCTATAATTGTATGAAAGGTAGTTGTTATCTGCAATGATTTGTTTTCTTTCATTCCAATCTTTTCACCTATGCATGTATAGTTTTTCTTCTAAAAAAACAGGATTATATGAAACATACTATTTTATCACTCTATTTTGTCACTTAGTATACTATAAAAATACTTTTATGGTGTTGAAGAATCTTCTATGATTTTTTCCTCTTCTTATAACCTTTTTAAAAAAATTTATAAGTATATAAGAAACAAAACATTCATCACTTCAACAAACTTCACATGTACAATTAAGTGACATTAATTATTTTCACCATGTTGTTCAACTATGATCATCTTTTTAGTAACTACCTAATATTCATCTGTATTATTTAACCAGTTCTCTTTTGTTGGGCAATGAGATTGAATCTAATGTGTTTTTGCTTTGGTTTTACATAGTAGCTAAATCATTTCGTGTATCCATAGTCACTTCCTTAGAGTAAAATCCTGGAGCAGGAATTTTGGGGTCATAGTGTATGTACCTTTTCAATGAAAATAGAATGCTGTAAATAAATGTGTAAATATAATGTGGCTTTAATTTCTAAAAAGAAGCTCCTAAGTACATGCACATAGAACTTACTTAAAATATAGCTGAACAGGTTGCCTGAACATCACCCTCTCACCCATTTCCAGACTGTATGAAGAAAAGACTAGAAATTCATAAAAATGGGAAAATCCATTAAAGTAGGAAGTCCTTAAGGGATGATGCTTCAGCCTTTCCCTTGTCCGTTTCATCACCAAGTAAATAGGGGAGGAGCACTGAAGAGACTGCAGGTACCTGCATCAAATAGTGTCTATCTACTCCCACCCTGGTTAGGATTTGCTGAACTGCTGAAATTTGCCTACCTGGTGCTGACACTAGAGTGGAGTACAAAGGGGGAGTTTGTGTATGTGCTTGACCATGTGAATCCTGGAGTGTAGGGACATTTGTGGCTATATATACATATTGGTGTCTGGTTCTCTCTCACAGAATTTGGAAGATGAGATCCTCACTAAAGCATCCTACACTGGTAGAGTAAGGAGACAGGCTAGCAATAAGGAAGCCTGCTTCCACTGTTTGGTTTAGTAAGAATGTTTGAGGGTTTCATAGGAAAAGGACATCTGTATGAACTCCACTTGAGAGAACTTGCTCTGGAGCCGGTCTTATAGTAAGCAGTGTTGGCCAAGAGAAAACTGCAATTGTAGGTCCAGTTATGTAAAAAGACTTCGTACTCTTTTTTGGAATCCTCGCTCCTTCCTCCCAAAGTTGGATGAGCCAGAATTAAGCAAGAGAGAGCAGGAGGGAAGAAGAAATGAAAGAACAGACTTTGATCCCTTCCTCATAGCAGGGCTTGAGCTACAGGGAGGAAGAAGCTTTGAATTGAACGTGAGATAGAATTTTTGACTCAGAATTGACTGAACAGAACTTTTCCATACCTGGAAGTAAGTCTTAATTACTTACAGTGATATTGTTCTTATTACTGAAAATGACCAGAAGGATTTTGGATTGGAACAATATATTATTGAAGAGTAAGGAAGAGAGTTTTCACAGGGGAGGTAAATGCATTTTCCCAGTTATTCCCTAAGAAAATTCAGTTAACTGGATACAAAAGGCTTTTGAGAGACATGCTTTAGAGTCAAAGACACAAATAGGTTGGAAGTAAACAGATGGAAAAAATTAAACCATACAAATAGTAACCAAAAGAGAGCCTCAATGGCTATATAAATACAGAAAAAAATTGACTTTAAGACAAAAATTGTTACTAGAGACAAAGAACATTTTATAATGATAAAAGGGTTAATACATCAGGTAACTATAACAACTATAAACATATTCACCTAAAAATAGAGCCCCATCATACAGGAAGAAAAACAGTGATAGAATTCAACGCAGAAATAGACAATTCAGTGGTAACAGCTGGAAAATTCAGTATCACTTTCAATAATGGATAGAATAACTAGGCAGATCAACAAAGAAATAGAAGATGTGAACAACATTATAAACCAACCAGATCTGACAGACACCTGTAGAACACTGCACCTAACCATACAGAATACACATTCTTCTCAAGTGCACGTGGAACATTCTCTAGGACAGATGATATGTTAAGCCATAAAACAAGACTTAATATATTCAAAAGGATTGAAATTATGTGAAATAATCTTCAACCACATGAAATGAAATTAGAAATCAATAACATGAGGAAATTTAGGAATATCACATTTATGTGGAAATTAAGTAGCACTTTCTTAAATAACCAATGGGTCAAAGGAGAAATTACAAAGACAATTAGAAAATATTTTGAGATAAATGGAAATGAAAACACCAATATAAAACTTATGAGATGCACCTAAAGCATTGTTTAGAGGAAATTTGTAGTGTAAATGCCTATATTAAAAAAAGAAATATCTTAAATCAATAACCTAAATTTTCACCCTAACAAATTAGAAAAAGAAGAGGAAATTAAACTGAAAGGAAGCAGAAGGAAGGAAATAATAAAGAGCAGAGTGGAAATAAATGAATAGATAATAGAAAAAAAATCAGTGAAACAGACAGCTGAATCTTTGAAAAGATCAACACAATTCACAAACTTTTGGCTAGACTGATCAGGGAAAAAAGAGAGAAGACTCAAATTAATAAAGTTGAGAATGAAAGAGGGGATATCACTACCACCTTTTCAGAATTAAAAAGCATTATAAGTGAATACTATGAACAACCATATGCCAACAAATTAGATAACCCAGATGATATGGATAAAATCCCAGAAAAACACAATCTACTGAAACTGACTCAGGAAGAAATAGAAAATCTAAGTAGACCTATAACAAGTAAAGAGATTGAATTAGTAATAAAAAAATTATACTACAAAGAAAAGCTGAGATCAAGACGGCTTCACTGGTAAATTCTACCAAATGTTTAAAGAAGAATTAACACCAATCCTTCACAAACTCTTACAAAAAATGAAGAGGAGGGAAAATTTCCCAACTCATTCTATGAGGCTAATATTACCCTTATAAGAAAATCAGAGACATCACAAAAAAAGGAAAAGTATAGATCAATATTCCCTACAAATACAGATATAAAAATCTCCCACCCCCAAATACTAGTAAACTGAATCCAGCATCATATGAAAAGGACTACACACCATGGTTTAGTGGGATTTATCCCAAAAATGCAAAGTTGTTTTAACATACAAAAAGCAATCAACGTAATACACCGTACTAATAGATTAAAGGACGAAAACCACATGACTCTCTCATGAACACAGAAAAAGCATTTTACAAACTCTAACACCCTTTTTTGATAGGCACACTCAACAATACAAGGGAACTTTCTCAGCCTGATGAAGGACATCAATGAAAAGCCCACAGCTAACATTACACTTATTAGTAAAAGACTGAATTGCTTTCTTCCTAAAATCAGGAATAAGACAAAGATGTTTCCCTTGCCACTTCCATTCAATATTGTACTGGAGGTTCTAGCCAGAGCAATTAGGCAAGAAAAAGAAATAAAACACATCCAAATTGGAAAGGAAGAAGTAAAACATTCTTTACTCACCGATGATATAATCTTGTATATAGAAATCCTAAGGAATACCCTAGCAAAGCATTAGAACTAAAAAATGAGTTCAGAAAGGTTATAGGATACAAAGTCATATTCAAAAATCCGTTGTTTTTCTACATACTTGTAATGAAAGAACTGGAAGTGAAATTAAGAAGACAATTCCATCTACATTAACTTCAAAGAGAATAAAATACTTGGAAATAAATTTACCAAAAGAAGTACAAGACTTGTACATTAAAAACTACAATCATCACTGAAAGAAATCTTAAATACATGGAAAGACATTCCATATTCATGTACTGGAAGATAATATTTTAATGTGACAACACTTGCCAATGCAATGCAATCCCTATCAAAACTTGAACTTTTTTGTGGCAATTGACAAGCCTATCCTAAAATTCATGTGGAAATGCAAGGGATCCAGAATACCCAAAAGAATCTTGAATAGGAAGAACAAAATTGGACAACTTACACTTCTTAATTTCAAAACTTACTACAAAGCTACACTAATCAAGGCAATATGGCACTGGCATAAGGATAGACATAGAAATCAATGGAACAAAATTGAGACTTCAGAATAAACCCGTACATTTGTGTTCAACTGATTTTCAAGAAGTGTGCCGAAACAATGGGGGCTAGAATAGCCTTTTCAACAAATGGTATTGGAACAGCTGGATATCCACATACAAGAGGATAAAGTTGGACCCCTCCCTCATACTGTATACAAAAACTAGCTAAAAGTAAATCACAGACTGTTATGGATTGAATTGTGTCCCGCCACAAATGTGTATCAACTTGGCTAGGCCATGATTCCCAGTATTGTGTGATTGTCCACCATTTTGTCATTTGATGTGATTATCCTATGTGTTGTAAATCCTACCTCTATGATGTTAATGAGGCAGAATTAGTGGCAATTATATTAATGAGGCAGGACTCAATCTACAAGATTAGGTTGTGTCTTAAGCCAATCTCTTGAGATATAAAAGAGAGAAGCAAGCAGAGAGACAGGGGGACCTCATACCACCAAGAAAGTAGAGCCAGGAGCACACGTCCTTTGGACCCAGGGTCCTTGTACTGAGAAGCTCCTAGTCCAGGGAAAGATTGATGACAAGGACCTTCCTCCAGAGCCGACAGAGAGAGAAAGCCTGCCCCTGAAGCTGGCGCCCTGAATTCGGACTTCTTGCCTACTAGACTGTGAGAGAATAAACTTCTGTTTGTTAAAGCCATCTACTTATGGTATTTCTGTTATAGTAGCACTAGATAACTAAGACACAGACCTAAATGTAAGAGCTAAAACTATGGAACTCTTAGAAAGAACCATAGAAGTAAATGTTTGTAACCTTGGATTAGGCCAATTTCTTTTTAGACATGATACCAAAGGAAATGCAATAAAAGTAAATTGGACTTTATCTAAAGTAAAACCTCTTACACTTCAAAGAAAACCATTAAGCAAACGAATAAACAAGCCAGAGAATGGGAGACAATATTTAAAAATTATGTATCTGATAAGGGGGATTGTATCCAGAATATATAAAGAACTCGTATAATTCTAAAATTAAAAAAAAGATAAAAGAAAAAACAGAACATGAGCAAAGGATTTAAGTAGATAGTTCTCCAGAGAAGACATACGAATAACCAACAAGTATGTGAAAAGATGTTCGACATCATGAGCCATCAAGGAAATGCAAATCAAAACCATAATGAAATATCAGCTCACACCGAGTAGGATAGCTATAACCAAAAAGACAGATAATAACAAGTGTTGGCAAGGATATGCAGAAATTGGAAAACTCATAAATTGTTGATGGGATTGTAAAATGGTCCGGTGACTTTGGAAAACAGTCCGTTAGTTCCTCAAAAGTTTAAACATAGCGTTGCCATATGACCCAGCAATTCCACTCCTAGGTATATACCCAAGAAAAATGAAAACAAAAGCTTTTTACATGAATGTCCATAGAAGCTTTATTTATAATAGCCAAAATGTGGAAGAAACCCAGATGTCAATCATCTGATGAATGGATAAACAAAATGCGGCATATCCATGCAATGGAATATTATTCAGCGATAAAGCGGCATGAAGTAGTGATACGTGTTACAACATGGATGAACCTTAGAAAACATTATGCTGAGTAAAAGAAGCCAGATACAAAAGACCACACATTGTATGAATCCATTTACATGAAATATTCAGAATAGGCAAAGCCATAGAAACAGAAATTAGATTAGCAATTGCCAGGGCCTAGGGGGAGAGGGAAATGGGGAATGACTGCAGATGTGAATGGAGTTTTTTGGGGGATGACGAGAACATTCTAACCTTAGAGAGTGGTGATGGCGACACCACACTGTGAATATACTGAAAAGCCACTGAATTTTACACCTTAAAGGGGTGATTTTTATGGTTTGTGATTATATCTCAGCAAGCCTTAATAAATAAGTAAATAAGGGGAAGAAAGTCTTTCAACATCTTTTTGGCCATTTACACTCCAACACACCTTGCCAATCTCCATTTCCACTGGGTGTGTTTCAGATGGTTTCAACGCCTGTTTGACTTTGTCCTTCTTAAAGGGTAGCCCCTGGAACGGAACACCATGCTATATTCCAAATGTGACAGGATTTGTTCAGACTAAAGAAGGACCATTGGCAACCACGGCAGAGATTCTGTCCATGTTTTTACTGTCCCCTGTGATCACTTTCTGCAGTTGCGTCACATTGTTGGATAAAATCTCTGATTTATTGCATCTGAGCCTGCCTTATCTCCAACTAGTCAGTGAGCTCCTTGACTTGACATGAGAGATCTCAAGCTTTACAATACCTTGTACATAACCGATGCTCAGCAAATACTTATAGATGATCTATGAACACAACTCTTAAATCATGAAGACACTCAGGAACACTTGCCTTAGAGTCCGAGAGCTGAAGCGAGCAGCTGCTGGCCTGGGATTTGGTACATGGTGACTCTTTAATCAGATACTCCACAAAGTAAGCAGGGCCAAAAACCCACTGTTACAAGACAAGAGTTGAGAAAAAAACAATCAAACCTTTCCACTCAGGGACATGAGTGAGGTTTGGAGGCCCTGTGTTTATAAAAACCAAACATTTCCAGAGTGTTGTCTCTTGCAAGCCCCACACTGATCCAACCATGTTTTATGATTTGTTACTTAGAGACTATAATCACCATATCTTTGTTTCCTTTCTAAGATTTGAATGTGCCCTAAATTCTTTCCCTCGGTGAGTTTTTTTTTTTTTTCCTCTGATAGAATTCCCTTTTAGATAAGTTTTTCTCCATTTGATAGAGACATCAGCACAATCCAAATATAATGAGCCTCTATTTCTCCAAACCCATAAAACTAAACTTCCACTGCAGGCCTTAATATGGAGTACATGTTGACTTGCTAAATGGTCCATGGTCAGTCAGATATGAGAATGCAGTACCAGGAAATAATGACCCTGAATAGAATCCCCAAGGAGACAATGAGTCCATTTTCTGCCTTGCCCGAAGGCCAGTGAAGGTAAAACCGAGTCACGTGACTCTTATGGAAATGCCATGGAATAACTCAGAAACTAAAGCGTGACGGAATGTTCTTCAGGTCTACCAAAGCAGGGACTATAGAGAAAGAGGGTCTTCAGTAATTATCTAAAACATAGCCTTGGTATTCCTTCCTCAGCTTAAGAATCAATAGCAAAAGTGTGCGACACATCTTACGTGTAACTGGCTTGGGCATTTTAGCCTTACCTGGCTGGAAGCCTTGGTGATTTTGACAAGAGAGTACTGCTTTGAGGTGCTCTCATTGTTGTATTTTGCAAGAGACTGAGTGGCAGCTTCCAAAACACTGGGATCTGATAAGTCAGTGGGGCTGGGTACAGGGCAGTCAGGACACATTCTGCTGATCGCTCTTCGAGAAACTGTTGAAGTCAAAAAGACCAATTTAAAAATAAAGCTCCTGGTTGCAACCAATGTCTCAAAACAACATATGTATAAATTTTTTAATAAGAAATTAACTTGAGCTGTAAACTTTCACCTAAAGTGCAATAGAAAAGAAAGAAAGAAAAATAATTGAAGATTGTCATAGCCCCTTGGAAACAAGAATAATTAATTCCAATCACTACTTTTAGTTTATTAAGCACCTAGTTGTATAAATTACTAATATATAGTATGCATACATTCAATCACAGTGTCCGTTGCTCCAAATTTCCTTCCCTGTACTGTACTTTATATTATACACCTAAAATACTTGTTCAACATAATATTTTTTTATCATCTTCACTGTCAACACTCAAAGTCAGTAGTTCTCAAACTTTATGGTGCATTAGATTGCTGATTCCCACTCCTAGAGTTTCTGATTCAGTAGGTCTGGGACTGGACCTAAGAATTGGCATTTCCAAAAAATTCCTAAGTGATACTGAAGCTACTGATCAGGATACCACATTGTGAGAACCACTGTACTGAAAAACCATGAATTGTAAGCTATTATAAAAACATTAAGAACTAATTTGGTTATACATATTCCATAAATCTCTACAGGATACATATTAAATTAATACTAATTTATTCTTTTTAAAGGGAGGGAAGGTGACGGGATTTGATTATAGTAGGAGAGGAAGATTTTATCTATATTTTTCAACTTTGTTCAAAAGAGAATAGATTTATATGCTACTTGTATAATTAAATATAAATTATGGTTTAGTTAATGGACTTTAAAATTGTTTTCCTAGAAAATCATCCATTATCTCATTATTCATTTTTTCACTTATTTGCATATAGTTCTGCAAAAAATATCCCTCTAATTATCTAATTCTGTTTTATTTATTCAATTGTTATTGATACAAATGATAAGACTGTAAGTATATTTTTCTGTTAATTATAGGTCTCTATTTCTTTTTCATTAGGATGAGGAATGTAGTTTATGCTACTTCCATTTTGGAGTCAAGTATTGAAGATTTCTTTGTGTTCCTATGTATGGCAAACCTTGACAAATATTTCATGGCCACTTGCAAAGACATATTTTCTCTGTTTATGAGTTTAGAGTTTCTTACATATGTATTTGGATTATCACATTATATCATTAAAATCCCCTATATTGTTACTATTTCTTAATCTAAAGTGATGATCTGTAAGGAAAGAGGTGTATTAAAATCTGATGAAAAACCCTGATAAATTATGCTTCTCTGTTAAGAAAAAAATAAAGTTCCTCGTTGAGTTTCAATCCTATAAATCATAGGACCACAATGAAGGCAAAGACTGACAAAAAAGCTCATACTCAGTGTTGACAAGAATGGAGTGAGAAAGGCAATTTTCTGGAAAGCAAGTTAGCTTTCTGTAGAGTTTTCTGCAATGAGTATGTATTAATTTCATAATTAGAATGAAATCAAAGAAAAATACATTTGACCTCACACACATTTATTTACCCTAGGAATTTTGTTTAATAACATATCATACAGTACATTGATATAAGACCTTTTCCCCCCAATGAGGTCAATAACTTCCATCCTCATTGTGTCTGTAAAGTAGACTGAGTGTCTTGCACAGTTGAGGTTTCACTACTGTCATGTCTTATTCACCTCTTTGTTCCTAACACCTCACATTATGTCCAGCTCATGAGTTAGTATGAGTACCAAAGGCAGATGCCATCTGGGAAAGGCATGTTCAAAGGATGGAGAGGCATAACCAAGATACAAAGATTGGAGAGTGGGATGTGTGTTCAGAAAATAGTGAAGCATCCAATGGAGTGGCGTGTAGAGTCGGTGTAGACAGGGAAATAATGGCAGATAAAGTTAGAAAGGGAATGTGGGGACCAGATGTAGTCATTATGCCATTGATGTCTGACTAAAAATATAGGATTTGATGCAGGACACAACGGAGATTTTGAAGGTTATTTGGGAAGATTAATTGTGAAAAGTAGAGTAGTATAGGCTGAATTTCAGATGGGAGGCTAGCATTGGAATCATCAGGAACTTGACCTTGGAATCAGTGTGAAAGTAAGATTGGGAGAAAATCTGTATGCTCTTGTCATGGGCCTGCTCAATGCTCTTTCTCCATCATTTATTAAAATGAACCAAATCAGAGTGATCGCTTACCTGGGCGAAGAGAACAGTTATAGGCAGGTAAATAGAGCACTCTTCTTGGTCGGCTGATATACAATATTGCTTTACATTGACCATAAACCTGAAACCAAACAAACATATTTTGTGACAATGGAGGGAAAAACCATGGGTTTTTAGAATACCAAACAAATGGAATTTGGAGATATTTTTTTAAAGTAATATGAAACTTAAGGTCCAATTTGGGTTGTTTGGGTGGCAGAAAATGGTAGCTGATCATCAAGCTTGTTTCACCTTTTATTCCTGGGACCAGGCCGACTATACCTCCAGCCTCCCCCACAATTAGGTGGGACTTTGTATAACAGTTCTAACCCCAGGATAATGAGCAGAAGTGATGTGTGCCACCTCCAGGTCTGGCCTATGAAGTTCGCCCATGTGCTATCTACTCTCCCTGCTCCTTCTGTTTCCTAGCTTGATGCAGACAGGTGTGCCCCCGGGAAGCCATAGTTGAGGACGGCAGAGTGTAGAGCCGCAACATGCATGGAAGCTGGAACTCCAAAACAGCCCCTGAAGGAAAGTTCCCCTCCTGATCTGGAATTCCTATTTTGAACTTTACATGAGTGAGAAATAAACCTCTATCGTGATGGACTCATTATGCAACTTTCAGTTTGTTACAGCAGCTAGCATCACCTTAACAATATTCACAAGAGGGTAGGTAGCCTGCTTTTCAAAATCAGAACTGTGCGGTTTGACAAGCTTGATTCAATGACTACAAAAAGATATGTTGGTCAAACAGTACTTGTATTTACATCACTTACATTTATATCAGTGTCTGGGACTCATCTTCTAAAGTTTCATATCGATCAATGGAAATAAACCCAGGATAATTGAATAGCAAAGAGAAACCGATACTATTTTCAAGCATCTTCTATGGTCATCTACAAGATAACAAATTTTGAGGCCCTTTACGTTGTATGATTCCAGGAAAGTATTTCTCTTTCCATGACACATGTGGCGCTGCCATACTGTAACCTCTTACCCCAGCTTCATTAAAACAAAACAAAAAGCTCTCCCTTCAATGCTTCTAGAGTCTACCTTAAATCCACATCCACTTTCTTCACCTTAGATCCCTTTCCACATTTTAAACACTGGGTCGGAAGCCTGTAGAAGGGTCCTGGAGGTAGAAGAGTTGGATTCACCACACAGTTTTTGGGTAACTTTGCAATTCTGGTCTCCATGACCCCAGGGGGACTTTGGGAATCCCCTCTGATTTGTGACACTTTGTCGTGTCTATGGCATTAGAAGAACCACATGGGCACCCTAACAAGGAGATTATGAACAGGGACATTGAAATGATGATAGACATTGAGCAATCTTCACCCTGTAGGAAGAGGACAACCTATCTTCTGTCCCTGGAGCCACTGAGAGTGACCACTCACCGATTCATGCAGTAACCTCACCCTACAGTCCTTCCACGACTTCTTGCTGAGCACAGGGCAGTCGGTCCCCAACACATCCAGTGTGAGATAAAACAGGGATCCTGGACCATCCTGTGGGATAGGGTGAAGAAACGTTACATGGAGCAGAAACCCCTAAAGGCCTGTTTGATGGCAGAGCCAAAGGACATGCTGCTTTGAAGAATCTATGAGGACTGTTGAATACTGGACGAGTGTTAGACTAGGATCCTTGATAACCTTTGTTCCTAATGACAATAGGAGCATTGCAATACATGTGGTAGGGGACAGCAGAGTTTTCTTAGCTGGATTTAGAATCTGGCAAGTACCTTTCACCCTGTGTCTCTGGTCACACCTCCTGCTGGCCTCCACAGAACCCATGCTCTAGAGGGGACCTTCACTTTCCTGTCTGTGTTCCCGGACGTCACTGACTCGGTTGAGGCTCAGCACATAGCCTTCCTTTCGGTCCTTGTTGATGTCCTGCAGGGCAAAGTCCGAGAAATGCAGCACATCTGAGTCACTGCAACCCCGGGAGAGGAGACGCCAGGCCTCGGGGACCACCAGGGGCTCAGACCTAGCCCTGCAGCAAGCGGCCAGGGCACAGAGTGCCAGCGGCAGGAGTAGACCCATCCTGGGGGAACAAGGCCCTGGATGGTCGGGCTCTGGAGCTGCCGGTTTGGGCTGTAGGCCTCTATAAGGCAGTCTTGAGCAGTTTTGTAATCACAATCCGGTCTGATGACCGAATTTTGAAATTTTGAGTTCTAAAGGTGGATTTCCTGTGTCAGTACTTCAGAATTGGATTTGTAAATATTTGCAACTTTAGACTGTTGAGCAAGCTCTTATTCACGTGTGTGAACAAATTTAAGTTTCATAACTCTTTCCTAAGAAAACCTAATAAACACATGGTCAAAGCTCCTAGGAGGTCATGATGGATTCTGGTTCGTGTCTAGTCTTCATCTGAATGAGAATATGAAGGACGGTCACCAGCTCCCCTTCTCTACTAGCACTTTCCCTTCAGCAGATCTCCTCGGCCACACTAACACTGTCTCAGGCTTGGAGCCTGGGGTCACAGTGGTGCCCAGTGAGTTCAGCTTTCCTGGCTGAACCTATGGTCACCATTTCTTACTAGATCAGGAAAGTATTCCAAAACCCTTAGTTACATAGGAGAGGCGCAAGCTATTCTAAAGCACTTTGAGCATCCCGCTATAAAATATTCTATTTATCCTCCTTTAGGTTATTTAAATCTGCTCCCAGAAAGATTACAGCCTAGGAAACCTTATGGGGCAGTTCTACTCTGTCCTATAGGGTGGCTATGAGTTGGAATCAACTCGATGGACGCAACAACAGGTTATTTAAGTAGGTCCCTAGGTGACCCAACCATTCTATACTTGACTGCTAACCTAAAGGTTGTGATTCCAACCCACCCAGCAGCTCTACTGAAGAAAGACCTGGTGATCTGCTTCCTTAGAGATTATTGTAGTTGTTGGCTGCCCTTGAGTCGGTTCCAAATCATGGTGACCGCACGTGTTACAAGGTAGTAGGGTTTTCTTGGCTATAATCTTAATGGAAGCAGATCACTAGGCCTTTTCTTCCGCAGTACCACTGGGCAGGTTCCAACCACCACCATTTAGGTCAGCAGGGGAGCGTAAACCAATTGTGCCACCTAGATTACAGCTCAGAGAACCATATGGAGCAATTTCACTCTGTAACACGTGGGAGCACCATGAGTCGGAACTGACGGCAACATGTTTGGGGTCCCCCCACCCCAGGTTATTTTAAAACAATCTATCTTTTTATTTATTTATTTATTAAACAAACCAAAGTGTTTATTTGTATAAAGGCTAATAAATAAGCAGGGTTAATAAATAGCAGGGTTAATAAAACAAAAAAGAACATTCAAAATGTTATGAATGAAAAATGGTCAAAATCTTCAAAAAACGAAAAAGTCAGCCATAAACAATTGGAAATTGAAATAAAATATATAATTAAAAAGAGCATGAAAACTTTCAAACAATCAAGGATACGTATAACAATTATGTGCAAGACATGTAGACTGAAAATTCCAAAACATTGCTGAGAGAAATATGATCAAAATAAACAGAGATATACACCATGTTCATAAATGGGAAGACTCAATATTTTTGAGATTTCAGTTGTCCTCAAAATGGTTTATAGATTCAAAACAATCCGAATTCGATTCTCAGTAGGGTTTTTTTGTTTGTTTGCGTTTGGTAGAAATTGACAAGTTGATTCTAAAATTTATATGGAAATGCAAAAGACAGAACCGTAAAACAGTTTTTGAAAAAGGACAAAGTTAGAGGACTTATACTATCTGATTTCATGAGTATAAACTCCAGTCAAAAAGACAGTGCTGTATTAGTCAGACGATAGATACATAGATCAATGCAACATACATGAGCAGTGGGTTTTCCACAAAAGTGCTAAGGGAATTCAACGGGGATAGGATATACTTTTCAACAAAGGGAACTGGAACTACTGGATATACAATATATCGTTTTTAAAAAAGATTTTTTTGTCATTTCAAACTTCTAGAATCATACTCCAAAACTACACTTTCTTTTGTGGAACTGTATAGAAATAAACTCCTTAAAAGACTAAATCCTAAAACTCTGTTTTGTTAAGAGAACAATAATGATCGCACTTGGGGCTGGAACACCCCGGAAAAACTGGATAAGACTCTTGCTTTTTCAGCTTCTATTAAGAGTTCAGGAAGGTTCTACCGATTGGGACTGTAACAAAGACAAATACCTTAAAACAAACAAACAAAAAACCTTGGGGAGTTGTAAATATAGGTACCAATCTTGGCCTGAGAAGGTGAGGGTGTGGACTAAGGAAAACCATACCGCAGCCACAGCTCAAAAGTATTAGGCTGGTGCTTTGCTTATTAAAGATGGACTCTGCAGATGGTCTGTGTTTTTCTCTCTCTTTTCCCTTATGTTAAGGTGCAATACATACTGAAGGCTGTAGCCTTTGATCTTCATCAATAAGTGCTTCAAGTCCTCTTCACTTTTAGCAAGTAAGAATTGTGTCATCTGTATATCGCAGGTTGTTAATGAGCCTTCTTCCAATCCTGATGCCGTGTTCTTCTTCATATAATCCAGCTTCTCAGATTATTTGCTAAACGTACAGACTGAATAAGTATGGTGAAAAGATACAACCATAATGCACACATTTCCTGACTTTAAACCACACAGTATCCCCCTGTTCTGTTCGAACAACTGCCTCTTGGTCTATGTACAGATTCCAAGCATGAGCACAAGTAAGTGTTCTGGAATTCCCATTCTTTGCAATGTTTTCCATAATTTGTTACGGTCTACACAGTTGAATGCCTTTGCATAGTCAATAACACAGGTAAATATCTTTCTGGTATTCTCTGCTTTCAGCCTAGATCTATCTGACATCAGCAATGATAGCCCTCGTTCCACCTCTTCTTCTGAATCTGGCTTGAATTTCTGGCAGTTCCCTGTTGATGTACAGCTGCAACTGTTTTTGAATGATCTTCAGCAAAATTTTACTTGTGTGTGATATTAATGATATTTGATCATTTACACACTCTGTTGGATCACTGTTCGTTGGGATGGGCACAAACTTCTGTCCCTTCCAGTCAGTTGTCAAGGTAGCTGTCTTCCAAATTTCTTGGCATAGATGAGTGAGCACTTGCAGCACTGCATCTGTTTGTTGAAACATCTCCATTGGTATTCCTTCAATTCCTAGAGCCTTGCTTTTCGCCAGTGCCTTCAGTGCAGTGTGGACTTCTCCTTCACTGCCATCAGTTCTTGATCATATGCTACCTTCTGAAATGGTTGAATGCCAACCAGTTCTTTTTGGTACAGTGACCCTGTGTATTCCTTCCATCTTCTTTTGATGCTTCCTGCGGCGTTTCGTATTTTCCCTGTAGAATCCTTCAGTATTGCAACTCGAGGCTTGAATTTTCTCTTCAGTTCTTTCAACTTGAGAAATGTAGAGTGTGTTCTTCCGTTTTGATTTTCTAACTCTATGTCTTTGCACATTTCATTATAATATTTTACTTTGTCTTCTCAAGCCGCCCTTTGAAATCTTCTGTATGGCTCTTTTACTTCATCATACCAAGATAAGGGATCTAGACTTGATTCCATTCATTAGTGGTCTCCATATATTTTATCATTCCCCTATCAGTAACAGGAAGTTGAAATATGTATATCTTTAATATACATAGGATTATTAATTCATTATATGTTTATATTAATAATCAATATGTTAAATATCAGCAAAGCTTTATTTCTCACTCTATAGATAAAAAAATAAATAAAAACAGATTTCTGATATTTTCCCCCACAACCAATAGTTTATCTTGTGCACTCCCTAGGGTTTGCACCCCGCACTTTGGGGACCTCTGATACAGATTATATGGATTCACCCTGGCTGTTGAGCAAGGGATGCCAAGATCCAGGCTTTGTGCATGTCCATCCAGCAGCCCAGAAACCCTGGTGGTGTAGCGGTTAAGTGCTATAGCTGCTAACCAAAAGGTGAGCAGTTCAAATCCACCAGGCATTCCTTGGAAGCTCTATGGGGCAGTTCTACTCTGTCCTATAGGGTCACTATGAATCAGAAACGACTCAACGGCAATGGGTTTGGTTTTGGGTCTTGTATCCGGCAGCCCTGCACAGGAAAACTGGAAGAAGCAGAGGCTAAAGCTGACAAGATCAGTTAGGAAGTCATTTCCTCTTTCCTTACTTGTTGACTTCTCCCTCCAGGCACTGCAATAAGAGATGATGAAGTGAATAAAACAGAACTAGGTGCTATGCAATAGAGGATACAATGGAGAGATAATAAAAATATTGTCCAGACCAGTTACATCTATGGCTTGTCTCCACGAGGACCTAAGAAATCATTGCCAGGTATGGGCTTTGAGTGAGATGGGTTGGGGCATGAGGGAATGGCAGCTACGTAGTAAGGAAAAGGCCTCCCATCCTGCAGAGATTGTTGTTGTTTTCTCTACTGAAGGCCTGGAAATTAATCCCATGGCCTACTCTTGACCTGACTAACCAAACTACTGTACAATCAGTGCAGGCTGCTGCTTACTCATCCCAGAGATTAATCCCAGCAGGCCTCACATGCCCTAAACAGAACTCCTTTTGTTGTCTGCTCTATCTAGGCGGTATTATCCTCTTTGTGCTCTCTGCTTCTTCCCCCCCAACTGATGTAACTTCAAGGATCCCTCTGTTGCCCAAATCTTTCTACCACACCTTCTGAAATTCCCATTCCATACATAGTAAGCAAACCTACCTACCTTATTAACCTAGTCATTTTCTTGGCTCAACTCAAGCCTGGCTTTCCTCTAAGACAAAATTTCTCCGTAAGAACTTTGGAATGGATGCTTGGGATAGGAGGTAATGTTGGCATCCTCCCCATTTCCCAGTGCTAGTTCCAGGACATTAGTTTTCTATGATTACATAAAAACCTGTTTCTTTGAGGGCCATGCCATGTGACTGCATCAGCCACCCCCTTCTTGTCACTCTCGTCTTCTGATCTTCTGGTCATTCTCTCTCAGTTGTTGCAGTCTTTAGCTCCTGGCTTACACTCTTGCCCTTCACACTCACTCTGACATTATTCAGTTAAAATTATCATCC